TCCACACTACATTCTCTGACAGCTCTCCTCCACCATCCACACTACATTCTCTGACAGCTCTCCTCCACCATCCACACTACATTCTCTGACAGCTCTCCCCCACACTACATTCTCTGACAGCTCTCCTCCACCATCCACACTACATTCTCTGACAGCTCTCCCCCACACTACATTCTCTGACAGCTCTCCCCCACACTACATTCTCTGACAGTTTTCCCTTCAATGTCTACTGTATCTTCTCTTGACGGATCCTTTCAACAAGCTTACTTCAGAAATAATCTTTTGAGTTTTCTACAAGCATGCTTTTTAGCCCACTGACCACCAAGGTAAGGAACATTCTCCTTCCTGATGCACTTAACAGTTCCACCTGTTAAAACCCCTCGTATATTTGTCAAAAGACAATCTGCAAGAACATTCTCTCTGGTGTCGTATTAGACTTCTTTTATCTGTAAAACATTTCCCGTAGTCAGAAAACAGTGAGGACGCTCCTCACTATGTTTTCTCTGGTGTTTAAGAAGTTCATGTTTCTCGGTAAAAGATTTCTCACACTCTGAACGAGGACTCTTATCCGTGTGCATTATCTTGTGTTTCCAAAGTGCTCCTTTGTTAGTGAATGATTTCCCGCACTCGGTACATGAATAAGGACGCTCACCTGTGTGAATGATCTGGTGTTGAACAAGTACTTCTTTATGAGTGAAAGTTTTCCCGCACTCTGAACATGAATAGGGACGCTCACCCGTGTGAGTCCTCTGGTGTTTTACGAGGGATCCTTTCTGAATGAAAGATTTCCCGCACTCTGAACATGAATAAGGACGCTCACCTTTGTGAAATTTCTGGTGTTGAACAAGGTATCCTTTATAACTGAATGATTTCCCGCAATGTAAACATGAATATGGACGCTCATCCGTGTGACATCTTTGGTGTTTAACAAGGGTTCCTTTATGAGGGAAAGACTTGCCACACTCTGAACATGAATAAGGACGCTCACCTGTGTGAATATTCTGGTGTTCAATGAGGGATCCTTTATGAGTGAAACATTTCCCGCACTCTGAACATGAATAAGGACGCGCACTTGTGTGACTTATCTGGTGTTCAACAAGGGAATCTTTATGAGTGAAAGATTTTCCGCAGTCGAAACATGAATAAGGACGCTCACCCGTGTGAATTTTCTGGTGTTTAACAAGGTCTGTGTTAGAAGTGAAAGATTTCCCGCACTCTGAACATGAATAAGGACGTTCACCGGTGTGAATCCTCTGGTGTTTAACAAGGTCTGTGTTAGAAGTGAAAGATTTCCCGCACTCTGAACATGAATAAGGACGTTCACCTGTGTGAATCCTCTGGTGTTTACCAAGGGCTCCTTTTGCTATGAAAGATTTCCCGCACTCTAAACATGAATAAGGACGCTCCCCCGTGTGAATTCTCTGGTGCTTGTTAAGGTCTCCTTTCTCATTGAAAGATTTCCCGCACTCTGAACATGAATAAGGACGCTCACCTGTGTGAATTCTCTGGTGTTTAACATGGTCTGCTTTGCGAATGAAACATTTCCCGCACTCTGAGCATGCATAGGTCCGCTCATCCTTGTGAATACTTTGGTGTCTAAGAAGGTCCGTTGACGTCTCCATCGAGTTAGGTCTGTGATGTATATTTTGTGGATATGGATTCAATCCTGGAGAATCCTGTGTGATGACATTATCTTCTGACTTACAATCAGCAGATAATATAACATGTCTCTCCGAGGTATTCCTGGTATTCCGTCCATCTGATAGAAAGCAATTTTTTAATACTATAGAATTCATTAAGTCAGTAATAAAAGTCATATATATATTGGTCAACAGTTTCATAGATCTCTGGCAGGATATTTGTTACAATGCAACACAAAAAACAAAATGAGTTAAAGGATAAAAAACATCCAAAACAACAACTCTGACACAGAGTAAAATTGTTTTGTAAATTCATGACAGTTATGAGGAATAAGGGAGATGGACCTTTTGCGGAAACATTATATTGAGGAATGGAGATGAACCTTCATATGGTGTACAGTGTGACGGACCCCCGTACTCAGTATGAGTATGTCCGCCGCTGTCTTCTTCCTTGCTGAGGAGATATTGGAACCCGCTAATCTGTAGCTCCCAGTTTCCCCAGTCACTGGTCGGGACACAGTGTAGGGTAAACAAACTCTGCTTTTTTGAACAACTGCACAAACTTTTATACAGCAAGTGATGAGATCAGATTATAATCCCATCACATCCCCCCTCCCCTCCCAGACAATCGGTCTGCTCAACACCACAGGGTTTACCCGGCTAACGAACTCCAGACAGCCATAGCAGGAGCCTGGTCAGAATGTCATTGTTCTGAGCTCCCTCAGAGAACAATGGGAGATAACGAGGGATGGTGCTGATAGTCTTTCCATAACCAGGTCACTCAGCATAACGCACTCAAACATAACTCAACACCAATACACATTTAACTTATAAACTCATCACCATGTCGTCACATAGCTCCCCCAAGTTAAAAGATGGCAGACCCGGTGAGACCCTCTACGGGCCCACTTGGGGATGTCCATGATGTTAGTCACCCTTCCAGTTCCGTTTGGCGGGATAGTCCATCAGCATTAGCATTGTGTTTCCCAGGCCGGTATTGGATAGTGAAATTGAACGGGTGTAGGGCCAGGCTCCACCGCAACAGCCGTCCATTGTCCCCGGACACCCGGTTCAACCAAACAAGGGGATTATGATCCGTGAGGATGGTAAACGATCACCCATACAGGTAGGGTTGTAGTTTCCGGAGGGCCCATACCAGGGCTAAACATTCTTTCTCCACGGCCGCATAAGCTACTTCCCTGGGTAAGAGTTTGCGGCTGATATAGGCAACTGGATGGTCGTGTCCATCATCTCCGGCTCAGGACTGCTCCCAGCCCGAACATGGAGGCATCTGTGCGTACAACAAAACGTTTGGTAGGGTCAGGAGCGGCTAGTACCGACGCCTGAACAAGTGCTTGTTTAAGCTGCTGGAACGCTGCCTCACACTCCGGGGACCACAGGACCTGTCGTGGGGAAGACTCTTATGAGTCAGGTCAGTCAGGGGTTTGGCGATGGCGCTGTAATTGGGGACAAACCGCCTATAGTATCCTGCCGTACCCAGGAAAGCTAGAACTTGAGTCTTAGTACGGGGGGTGGGCCAGTTAGCTACGGCTTCCACTTTGGCCGGTTCAGGCCGCTGCTTCCCACACCCCACTCTGTGACCTAGGTACTGGACCTCCGACATTCCTATGTGACATTTGTCGGGTTTAACAGTCAGTCCTGCCTCTCTAATACTGGTCTGATAAAATTTCCAGTGGAAACCCCACCCTGGTGAATATCTGCAGCAGGGTACTTTCAACAGTCTCTGCTTGGGTATCCCTCAGAGCCACCGCCTCGGGATACCGAGTAGCGTAATCTACTACGGTCAGGATATATTTCTTGCCTGTAGGACTAGGCTTAGCTAGGGGACCGACCAGGTCCACTGCTATACGGCTAAAGGGTTCCCCTACATTGGGCATGGGTCGTAACTTTGCCTTAGCGGAATCCCCTTTCTTCCCTACCCGCTGACATATCTCACATGACCTACAGTAGTCCCATACTTCACCTGACAGACCTGGCCAGAAAAAGTTCTGGGTCAGACGGTTCAGTGTCCGCCTGCGCCCACGATGGCCCGCTAAGGGAATTTCATGCCCGATCTTCAGCAGATCGCACCGGTATTTCCTGGG